TGTCAGATGGTAGAGCCTCCTTAACATAAAGGTGCCCACAACCGGGAATGACAGTCATTTTTTAAAAAGACCAACACATTTTGTGATGCAGGATTTTGGTTAAACACGAAGGTAAATCACAAAATATAATGACAACACTGCAAAAAAAAAATTAAACCCTTCTTTTCTGAACGAATCTACACCCATATGTTGCTCTTCGAAAACAATACAAAATTACTTTTTTATTTATTTAATGCAAATTTTCTTTATTATGCTCACAGCTATTACACAAATGCATATATTTGTTTCGTTATCAATACGAAAAGTCCGTATTGTCAACGAACACGACTTGCAATACTTAGATCAGTAAAGTCTGCTTGCCGTCGAAGTTTACGTAGGGGTGCCCACAACCGGAGGGTGCCCACAACCGGCGCACTTCCCCTATATGCAACTTAAATATCAGTTTTTGAAAACTGTCCATTGAGGCTAGGATGGCATAGTGGTAGCGTGACAGCTTCTGGTGCGTGCAACCCGAGTTCAATTCCTCCGACCGTGGAAAATTTTCTTTCAAGGTATATTTGTTGTATTTGTGTTAAGTAATAATTAAATGTAAATATATATGTAAAATAACAATTATTTAATTATTTAAATAAAAAATATAAATGTTAATTAATTAAATAATAAAAATGTTTGACCTAAGTATTAGAAAAGATGGGATGGGGGTAAGGGGGGGGGGGGTAATTTAAGTAAATAATTTACTTGTATTGAGAAAGTATTTTTTTGATTTAAATCTATAAATTTTCTCAAATCAAGAAAATATTTTCTTGGACAGAGAACATACTTTCTTGATTTGATGCATAAATGATTTTGAATTAATATATATTCTGCATTTCTTACATGTTACTTAATTTCTTGATCGAATTCCATATTTTCTTGGATCAAGAATATCTGCGTTCTCTCACAAAATAAATGTTTTCTTCATTTAAATCTTGAATTACTTGAACGAACGTTACAAAAAATTGAATGAATCAAATAAAATAATTCAATTAACTATATATATTCTTAGAACAAGAAAATATTTTATTCATTTAATACATTTCATACTTCGTATAAGAAGACTAACTTCTTGGTCGAATTCCATATTTTCTTGGATCAAGAATATATGTTCTTCTCCCAAATATCCTATGTCAAGAAAATCGTTTTCTTGAATCAATACTTTAATAGTCTTGGCCGCATTCAATCCCACGATTTGCTTCAACCAAGAAAAATTTTCTTGGTTCAATACTTTTTTTTTCAGTGTATGTACGAATGGGCATTGCCCGTATATTTTGGAATAAATAAATAATAATTGTAACTGTTACTGTCCATTTTTGAAAGTTTTTCAACTTTATACAATAGAAAAGTTTCCAAATAATTTAAAATTGGTAAAATCTTTTAAAAATTAAATTTTTGAGAAATATGAAAAGAAATTATCAAATTTTTGAAGAAATTTCATTATAAATGTGAACATGCCTGCGAAATCTTAATAAACCTAAAAAACACTGAATTATTAAAAAATTTTAATTTATTTTGTTCGAAGATAAAAAAAAATCATGAAAAATTATGATAAAACAATTCTAAGAATTAGTTTTTTTTAATATAACGTAATTTTTCGAAAATAATTGAATTTCTTAAAAGAATTTTTGTATATAATTTAAAAAAAACTAAGTTTTTTGTAACATTTTAATTACAAATTTTGAACATGATTGTTTTCTTCAAAAAGGATAAAAATAGGTAATTTATACATTTTAATGTTTCTCTTTTTTGTATATATTTAAATTTTTGGAAATATACAATTGAAAATAATTGAATTTCAAAAAAGTAGAATAAAAAAGTCCTAAGAATTCAATTATTTTCAAAATTTGCAATTAAAATTCTTCAAAAGTTGACTTTTAAAAATTGCAATAAAATGCTTTAAAAAAATTAATTATTTTCAATTAAATTTTACAAAATTTCAATTATTAAAAATATTTTTAGTTATACATTTCAAAAATTTAATTAGATACATTATTCAAAAATAATGTTTGTAAGATTTGTTTATAGTTATTTATTTTACACTATATAAAAATCAAAAAGAACCTTAAAATTAAAAAAATTAAAAACAATAGGGGAGAGTCTCCAGTTGTGAGACACCTCCAGTTGTGAGACAGTCAATTTTTTTTAACATGCAATATTAAAAAGCCGATTGGTTTATATAAAAACATTTCTTTTTATATGATCCAACATTTTCGTGTACGCCGAAGCGGATATATAAACTGTTTTTGTTAAATACCAACACTGTGTGTGATAATCGACAAAAAAGCGTTTTTTCAATAAATGCAAAGTACTTTTTGTCCAAGTTAATGAATTGGAAAAGGTAAATGTAATGCATTTTCTTTTAGTGTTTTCCTTATATTTTGTGATGCAATATTGCATTGTTCCAATCTACGGTTGAAAATAATTTAATTTTCCTTTTTCAAAATAGCGCCAATTTCTGGGTGTGAGACACAGCATATCACCAGTTGTGAGACGGTGTCAACACCCATCTGGGCAGCATAAAAAATACGACTTTGCAGGCATACTATTTAAATGTTGATTTCATTTTTTTCTAGTATTTTTGGGCATGTCAAGTGGAAAAAAGTCAATTGATTCAGACTGCAAAAACTAGCGTCTTCGAAACGTCTTATTTTAAGACATTAGACGACGTTTTAAAAACGTCTAGTCTGGAATAAATGACTAATTCATCTGTCTTTCATGCAAAGTGTCTAAAAATTTGAGACACTTCTTGCGTCTTACAAATGTAAACAAGTTACTTTCAGTGCTCATAATTTAAGACATATAATGTAGACGGTAAAAGTGTCTATATTTAAGTCATTTTTGCTAATTTAAGACGTTTTCGAAGTAAGACACTTTGAATAAAAGACATTTTGTGTATTCGAGTATCTTCGGTAATATTCGTCTTGCCTCGTCTCGATGAAAGTTTCCCGCGCAATATCAATGTGATCAATGCATACATGCATTTTTAGGTTATGTATCGATTCAAGCAGTAAATTTCATCTGAATGAAGACACTTTAAACGTCTCCAAAATAGTCACTTTTAACGTCTTCCTAAAAGACATCCCAAAACGTCTTACAAATGAGGACAAAAGTGTCTCAAATATAGACACCTGTTTTTGCAGTGAAGAAATCAATTTTAATGCTCTTGTTGAAGCTATTAAATTGTGTTTATTTGATAGTCATATTTTGGCGAATAAATATTATTATTTAGTATATAATAATATATATTATTAATATATTTAATTATTTATACTAAACATAACGTTTTATGTCAAACTTATTAAGTTTTAGCAATTTTTAATGAGTGTCTCACAACAGGAGACATTTTTTTTTTTTTTAAAAAGCGCTGTGCCCGGAAAATGTATCGTAAAATTTTTTGAGTTCATCGAAACACTATACTTTCTTTTAATAAAAGTTGTGTATTTCTGTTACCTTTCGAACGGTGTATTTTATTTACAATTTTGTTTACCCGTTTACAATTTACGGGTCAAAAATGAAACCCGTCTCACAACTGGAGACTCTCCCCTATAAAATTTTGTTTAATTTGAAATATGTTTTTGAAAAATGGCAGTAAGTTTTCTGGAAGTTTGGAACAAAAAGGAGCAAAAAATATATAAAAAATTTAAAGCAATCATTCAGCAACCGGTCATAATAAGCTGGCAGCAATCTTTCATGGCAAGCTTGTAGAAACTTGCGTAGTAAGCTTGCAGCAATCATTCTTTAAATCTTGTAGCAATTTTTTATGCCAAAATTAAAGGAAACTTTCACCGCAAGCTTACAACAATCTTTCTCGGAAATTTTTCTGTCTCAGACGCAAGCTTGCGGCAATCTTAGCCTGTAAGCTTGGCAAGATTTCATGGTAAACTTGCCGCAAGTTTGCCATAAGCTTCAATATTCTCTGGGTGCTAATTTAATATAATAAAAGTATTTAAAATTATTTGCAGCAAGTTTACTGGAATCCTCCTGCAAGCATTACGTAAGCTTGCGAAAATCTTATCGCAATATTGCAGTAAGTTTTCCGGGGAATATCTCGGCAAGCTTACACGAAAAGCTTTCAATCGGTAAGACATTTTAACCTCGCAGTAATCTTACGTCCAGTTTCCAAAACAAGCTTGCAAAAGTTACATGGTAAGGTTGCTGCAAGACTGTGGCAAGTTTATGATTAAGTATTCAGTACTTAACCCTTTTAGTTACGTATTTTTCTTTTTACTGAATTCATTTGAAACTTGTTACTCGGGGGATTTTAGGATCGTTGAATCGTTTGATTATTATAATATAAAAAATAGTTTTGCTACCAATAAATATGGTAAAATTTACATCAATTCTTATTTTTCTCCAAGAGCATTATGGAAACACTTATATACAGTATAAGGGAGTTACCAGAAATGGGAGTTGGTTTGTTGTGTTTCATTATTAGAATTCATAAACATGACGTGTTTATGGGACGTTTTTGATCTATCTTTGTGCAGATGAAGAAACAAACGTATAGAAAAGTATGCAGAATGGCGAATTTTGGATCTATCCATTGTGACCGGGTGCGTGTTCATCGATTAGTCATGGTACCCGCTTTGTCGAAGGGTGACTTAACATTTCGTCTCGATGCATTACTCTGTATAAGAACGATACCATTCCATACCCTCACATACATGTACAGTTTACACTTCTTTATTCCTCAATAAGTTTGTATCCGAGCGCGAGAACGTCAAACAAATTCGATGAGGGTATAATATCTGATGGAGACATATCTGCGTTAACGTCAACGTCAGACATCGATTCCCCCTTAAAACCCGATTCCCGCCAAACTATATAAAAGCGTGACTCTTTCTCTCACATTATTAATGATTTCGAAAATTGCCTCAACACTGCGATCAAACTTTCGACAATACCGACAATACTATTTATTTATGTGTCTAGATTAATGTATATTAGGCTTTTCTTGCACTAACCTTTTGACTTTATGTTATGCAGCGGAGCAGTATACATCTGAAAACAAAATTTTTTATTAATAAAAAACATTGAATTTTTTGTTATATCCCATAAAAATTATTTTTTAGAATATTTATTAGACAGAATTTTATTAGATATAAAATTCACATATTTTACATAGCCAAAAATATTACTTAACAGTAACACAATATTAGGTCACCGAGTTTTTATTTAACAGAATCTTCAACTGATTAAAGTTTTAATTAACATTCTTTTTATTTTAAAGAAATGTAATCTAATCGAATTCTAATTTAGAAAAAATACCATTCAGCAGAATTTAAGTATTAAATTTAACTCTTAAATTGACGAAATAACAATTTACAGAATTTCCATTTGTCCGAACAATCATCGAGCAGAAAGATTTCAGCGCCAATTTTAAAAATGACCAATCAGAAATTACCAAGCAAATAGTGGTTGGTCAATTTTAAAATTGGCTGTGAAATCTTTCTGCCAGATGTTTGTTCGGACAAATGGAAATTCTGTAAATTGTTATTTCGGAAATTTAGGAGTTCTACTAAGTGATAATTTGTGCAAATTCAAATTCATACAAAATAAGATTCGATGTAATAGAATTTCTGACATTTAAATGTTCTAATTCACTTAAATTGAGAGTCCCAATCAAAGAATCGGTTATACATTTTTTAAGCCCTGTAAGTCAAAAATCAAACAGTTTTTAATCCCAATTTTTTTGAGAAACGTTTTGGTAATTTTTATACAAATACGAAATGTTTTCAAAAAATTGAAATTTTAAATCCTTTTTTTATTTAGATATCGAGAATTTTGAGTCTAAAAAAATTATACCGGTTCTTTGATTGAGCACTGTGAAAAATGTTTGGAGAAAATTCCACAAAATCTTGGTGGCACAATTTTAACCAAAAAAGGTAAATAGAAATTAAGGGGAATTTTCACCGAGAAATCTAGAGGAACTTTTGCTTTAAAATCTTGAAGAATTTTCCCTTTTAAATCTTAGAGAATTTTTTCTTTAAACTCTTATGGATTTTTACCTTGAACCTATGGTTATTTTTCCTTTAAAAGATTAGTGAATTTTTTGAAATTCATAAATTTTCTATATAAGGTTTTTTGTGTATAAAAAATGTTGAACAAATTTTTAAACTACTGTTTAATATATTATTGGAAGTGAACAAAAATATTTTCTAAATAATAAATCTAAATGAAGATAATTAAAATAATACCACTGAATTTAAAAAATTATCAATTAGTTTCTTTCCTTTTGGGTCAAAAATAGTCTTTGGATAATATTTCGTTTTATTATAATTGGTAGAAAATTGCACAAAATTGTAGAAACAATACTTTTCATCCTTACTATAACTTGAGAAATATTCCACAAGAAACATCAGGGAAAAATACCCAAATTTTTTACAGTGCGTTTCTAGAAATTATAGTTTTATATATTATTAGTTTTGTAATAACAACACAATTTTTCTAAGGATATTAAATTGATGCAAAAAACGAATTGAGACAAAAAATCAAATTGAGGCATAAAACGAATGAAAAGTGTTGCGAAGCAACATTTTGATTCGTTTTTCGTCTCAATCTTGATTTCCATAGAAAACAGTGAAAATAAACAAATTTATTAAGATGGGAATAATATCAGAAAGATAAGAAAATGCAAAAATAAAAAAATATATATAAACTAGCAAAATATGAAAATTGTTTAAAGAAGATGATCCAAAAGAAGAAAGTGAAATGAAATTTGTACTAATTTTGAAGGTATATAACATTTCTCGTAATTTTTATTGTAAGGAGTACATATATTATATCGAATGTAATTGCGCTTAAAGTTCAAATAGAGCTTTTGTTTGTACGCAGAAACAATGAGGGGCGCCCACACGCAAGACGCAGGAAACGCAGAACGACGTTACGCACGCAATATCAAAACGACACTGTCGTTATTATAAATGTGTGTCTTTCATGTTTAAGAGGCGCACGTGGTACCAATTCGAGTGTGTATTGCATGATAGACGCGAGAGTAACAAGTGGCTCGTTTAATGCATTAAAACACAGACATGACAAAAAGGCTTCTTGTCTATCGTTTAGTAAAAGTAGCCCACGCTTTTACCAAATATGTTGCCGCAAAGTACATACATATATATGCGAGAGGAGAGAGAGAAGGAGACAAATAAAATCTGGACTGTTATTCCTTTTAGTACCCTGTTTGGGGTAATACAGTACCCCAAAATTGACGCTAGAAAATCTAGTCTGGAAAAATCTGACTAGAACCTGTTTAGATTCTTGTGAGGAAATTCTGACTAGAAATATCTTGCTAGATTCCGAATAAAATCTAAATAGATAGTTATAATAGTTATATCTAAATAGATAGAAATCACTGCTTAGGCCCTTGCTAAATTCTGGTCAAAGATGCCCGGAGTCGGACTTAAATTATTTTTTTTTCAGTCTGAGTTTAATGTCCAAAAAAAGACGCAAATATTGTTAAAATGTTTGTATAACCTAAATTATATTAATTAATTTCTCATAAATGCGATAAATCGACTTCAAGTATTAATGTTTTGACAAGTCCAACGTGTTTATTCATTATATACAATTATTTTAATTCATATATTTATGAATTATTCCCAGTTATTCCAATGCTATTGTAATTTTATCATAAACCCAAAATGATACAGCTTTTACTCATTTTGAGTCTTTTCCCCAGAAACTCAGAATGAGTCGAAGGGGTATCATTTTTGTTGCACTTCAAAATGAGTATCATATGATATACTCATTTTGAGTAAAGTTTTTTTCTGTGTTTCTTTATTCAAGCCTTCTGTTTGGTAAAAATTTTAGAACCTTTTACCGTACTGAAAATCAGCTTTTCGGATTTAAATTTTGAACTTTTAACGAAATCATACAAAATTTAAATTCAAATTACTCAATTTCGGTACTGTAACGGGGTTCTAAAATTTTAACCAGGCAGAATGTTTGAATAAAGAAACATTTATTAAAAATTTGAAGAATATTTTTTATCAAAATCGATTTTTTCAAGAACAAAAGTAAGAGAAATAACATTAAGAATTTTGAAATTAATTTTGATTTTTTTCGGGAAACAATTTTAGGGTTATTACAAAATTTTATTTTGTTTTTCCCTGCGGCTTTTCCCTGATTTTTAGACAAAATTTTGACTTTTTCCCTGACCCTAAAGAAATATTCTGATTCACTCTAAAACTGATTAGATACTCAAAAAAATATTCTATTACATTTGTTTACGAATTTCATCAATTGTAAAATTATTGAAAAACATCAATAACTTCATTTTTGAATAAAAATTTAATCACTATTATTTTTTCATAGGAATTAAGATTTTCAAAAATTTTAAATTCAAAACTTTTTGAAATTTAACAATAACTTATAAAAATATTATTACAAAAAAGAGATCGATAAGATAGGTTGTGGTTTCCAACTTTTAGATTGTAATGAGTATATATTATAATATGTACGAAAGGGCTTGTCCCGTATACTGGTTAAATAAAAAAAAAAATTAAAGATGAGCGAGTGATAAAATAATTATTATATATTGTAAGAATATTGTTACTTTTTCAAAATTATTTTCATCATTTTAATTCAATTATTATTTTCTACAATTTTTAACTAAAATACTTCTTTAAATCAATTATTGTTATAACAATTTTCGAAATTTAAATTATTTGGTAATTCTTCCATTAATTATTAGAAAATAAAAACTTCAAATAATTTTTAAAAAATTCAATTAAACTTTTTGAAAAAAATTTATTCTACAGAATTTTTAGTTGAAAAATTCAAATTTTTAAAGATTTAAATTTGAAACCTTTTCAAAATTCAATTTATTTCTAAAAATTTATGATATAATGCTTTTAATATTTTATTATTATCTAAAATTTTAACTAAAATTCATTTTTAAATCAATTTCTATTAGAAAATTCTACGAGAATTCAATTATTTAAAGACAAATATAAATAATTTATTGAATAATCGAATGTTTCTTCAAATTGAATTTTTATAAAGAATTTTATAAACGAATTTTTAAATAATAATTGAATTCTTTTGACGAATTTTAATAAAAATTTTAAGAATCATTACATTTTTCGAGGAATTCTATATTAAAATTGTATTAAAAATACTTGAAATTCTGCAATAAAGTTTTATTATTTATGAAAATAATTAAATGTTTGCGTAGAATTTTATTAACATTTTTTTAAAATAATTCTTTTGGATAATAATTTTGATTGATGATAATAATTCTTTTAAAAAAATTTTATTAAAAATCCTTAAATTAAGGGAATTTTTCAAAAATAATTGAAGTTTTGCTAAGAATTTTATTAAAATTTTGAATTTCTTTAATTGTAAAATTATTCGAAAATATCAATAGTTTTATTTATATACATAATAAGTATATTTAATTAATCATTATTATTTTCTTTAAATCAATTATTTTTAATAATTTTTGAAAAAGTTCTTTAAGCATTTTCAAATTCATTTGTTTACAATTCGATTTTACGAAATTTCAATTCGGAAATTAAAAGTATTTTTCAATTAAAAGTATGAAGAATCCAAATTTTCAAAGATTTTAATTTCTTAAAAAAAATTTTAGAATCATTACATTTATCGAGGAATTCGATTAAAATTGTATTAAAAATCATTGAAATTCTGCAATGAGTTTTATTATTAATAAAAATAATTAAATATTTGCGTGGAATTTTATTAAAAATTTTTTTTAAATAATTGAATTCTTTTGGAAAGTTTCATTAAAATATATAGTAGATATTGAAAGTCATTGAATTGAGGAAAATTTTTGAAAATTCTACCTCTCAGACCAGCTTGTGTTGTAAGCTAAGCAGGATTACAAAGTAAGCTAGCCGCAATACCCTAAAAAATCAAAAAATATCCAAAAAAAATTTCAAAAAATAACAGAATGTTGACTGGGGTACCAAAATACCCCAGCCAGGGAGTCTAGATTTAAAAAGTTTTCAAGAGGATAATTTTAAGAAACTTATGCCATCTTA